TTTTTTTTTTTTTGTAATGTCATCTATTGCTTTCAGCCCAAAGTATTGTGACACATGGGAAAACAGGCCCAAAAGACATGGTCCCTACCTTAAGAGCTCCCAGGAACCTGCTCCTCCCAAACCCCTCCCTCCCCGCAGTTCTGCTCAGGGACACCAGCCCAGCACACACACTCTTGCAGCAGGCAGACTCTTTACAAAACTATAAAATTATTCTTTAAAATATTACACTAAAAAGCATGATAATAGTGCTGGGACAGGGCTAGACCATCTTGAGCTTTTTCTTATTTCAGTAAATGCTCCCTCCACAGAATGCCCCCTGCTCAGGAAGTCCCTTCCTACAGATGGAGACCCCCACCCCATCTTGGTCTCCACTCTCAGGACACCTTGCTCGCACACAGCAGTGATGACAGATGCACCTGTGCACCTGTTTCTGTGGTGGTTTAATTACCGCCCCACCCCCACCCCAGGCTTGTCAGTTCCCCCAGGCTTCTCAGCTCCTCCAGTCAGGGACTGGTCTGCATTTTCACACCATACTCTCCCTGGGGCCTGTATACAGAAGGCGGTCAACAAATGTTTGTTTGTGGAAGGAAGGGAGCTGGGCCTTGAAACCTCAGGAGCATCCGAATGGAACCTGTTTGATGGGCCAGAGTCAAGTCCAACCCAATCTGCTGTGACTAACCTTGTGACCTTGGACAAGTCACTTTGCCTATCTGACAGTGCTGCAACCTACACTCCTTCCTCCACCTTCCCAGACAGCAGTCCCAAGACCACAGAGGGGGTGCACCCCAGTTCTAACTCAAATATGAGTTACCAATGAGAAAGTATATTAACCCCTCCTCCTTTAACAAATAATATCAAAAGTAACAATAATAATTAAGCCTAGAAGTATGGAATTCCTCTAAAAGAATGAAAATTATGTTCTACTTAACAAAGTTCCTGCTAAGTATTGAGGACAAAGGGAAGGTTTGTGACAAATGCATGTCTGCTCTGATTGAACAGTCTATTCTCGGTTCCTGACCCCAGAGAGTCATGAGAAGGGTTAGAAACTCTGAAAGGCCTGTAACCAACTCCCCCAACACACACACACACACACACACACACACACACACACACACACTCTTCTGAAACAGTGTTCAGATGATTGCTTAAGTCATAAAGTAAAGAGTATTTGTGAAAATTAATGATCACTGAAAATTTTTAAAGTTGAAGTCAGAGATTCAGTAGTTAGCTTGTTCAGCTTTTCTTAAAGGTGCATTACCGTATTTAGAAAGGCTAAAAACCTCCCCTTGTAATTTTGAAATTTTGAAAGCCAGCCCCCTCTGTTCCCTTCCTTCCAAGGTTTTTCTGTAAAGGAAATCCTAACGGTTCATTTTCAAACCCAAATACAATTACAATACAATGGGGTGGGGGTGCAGGTATGTGCACATTTTTGCTTCCACCCTGGTAGCTATGGGGTGCACCTAAAACATGGGATTGTAGTTAACATTCAATTTGGCTAAAATCCATAGAAAAAATAGAAACATGCAACTCTTCATATTTATGCTTCAACTCTGAAGACACTATTAGTTTGTTGAAGTCAAGTTCCATGTCTTGAAAAGAGCTGTTTACAAATGTGGCTCCCCCCATGCAGAGAGTAACACTGGCAGGAGGCAGAGTTGTGAGACAGAACTGCAGCCTCGCTTCTCAGGGGCCTGCATTCCAGGGCCAGCGTCCCTGTTTGAAGAGCAGGGCAGCCGTTCTCGAAATGAGGGGGTAGCAAAGTCTACCCTGTCAGGGTCATTTGCAGACCAGACTCTGAAGATCCTTCTTCTCAGAAGATGTTCCCAGGATCAAGAGGTGGCCATTAGGTCATCTGAAGCTCCCTGGTGATGAGAAAGGCAGGAGAGCCTCAGAATTCAGCTCCTGGGGGTGTTGGGGGTGGGGAAGTGAGGGGAGGTCTCTGTGCCTTATGCTGAAAAGGAAGAGAAGGGGTCAGCATCTTGTCATCATAGAGGGATCCAGTGGCCATCCCTCTAGCACAGCCTTTAAAAACAGTCCTTTGTCTCAAAATATGAAATGAGCAGACATATCCACTTACTTAGCCATTCCCCTTGCAAAAATAAGCTATATAAAAACACTGTGTACAATGGGGACCCCAAGGTAAGAACCTCCACCATTAAAAAAAGATAAAAATAAGGATACAAAATTAATATTCAGAAATCAGTTACATTTTTATATACCAATAATGAACTATCAGAAAGAGAAATTAGGAAAACAATCCCATTTGCAACTGCATTAAAAAGAATAAAATACAGGAATAAATTTAACCAAGGAGGTAAAAGACCTATACTTGGAAAACTATAACACAGTGAAGACGATACAAATAAATCGAAGCATATACCATGCTCATGGATAGGAAGAATTATCATCAGTAAAATGTCCATACTACCCAAATTAATCTATACATTCAATGCAATCCCTATCAAAATACCAATGGCATTTTTTCATAGAACAAGAACAAATAATCCTAATATTTATTCAGAACCACAGAGATCCTGTATAACTAAACAATCTTGAGAAAAAAAACAAAGTTGCAAGTTATCAAGCTACCTGATATCAAATTATACTACAAAGCTATAATAATCAAAACAGCATGGGGAGAAGCGGGGTGAGGGGCAGAGGGCAAACCCCCTCCACCCCCCAAAAAACAGCATAGTACTGGCATAAAAACACACATAGATTAACGGGACAGAATAGAGAACTCAGAAATAAGCCTACACGTATATGGTCAATTAGTCTATGACAAAGGAGTCAAGAATATCCAATGGGGAAAAAGCAGTCTTTTCAATAAACAATGTTGGGAAAACTGGACAGATATATGCAAGAGAATGACATTGGATCACTTTGTTACACCATGTACAAGAACAAGCTAAAAATGGATTAAAACTTTAAATGTGTAAGCCCAGCTGGTGTGGCTCGGTGAATTGAGGTCCTCCCATGGACTGAGAGGTCCCGATTCAATTCCCGGTCAAGGCACATGCCCGGATTTCAGGCTCGATTCCCAGTAGGGGGCGTGCAGGAGGCAGCCAATCAATGTTTCTCTTTCACATAGATGTTTCTATCTTTCTCCCTCCCTCTCTCTCTAAAAAATTAATAAAACATATTTTTTTTAAAAAAATGTTTAATGTGATCTGGCCGGTTTGGCTCAGCAGTTGGAGCATCAGCCTGCAGACCAGAGAGTCCCAGGTCCGGTTCCCGCTAGGGGCACGTACCAAAAAAAAAAAAAAAGTTTAATGTAAGACCCAAAACCATAAAACTCTTCTAAGAAAACATAGGCAGTAAACTCTCTGACATTCACTCTTAGTAATATTTTTTGGATATGTATTCTTGGGCAAGGGAAACAAGAGCAAAAATAAACAAATGGGACTCCATCAAACTAAACAGTTATTGCACAGTGAAGAAAGGTTAAGGGTATAAATTGTCAGTTATCAGCAAGACCAAAAGAAAACTACTGTCTGGGAGAAAATATTTGCCAATGATATATCCAATAAGGAGTTAATATCCAAAATATATATGAAACTTATACAACTTAACACCAAAAAAAACCCCAAACAATCCAATTAAAAAATAGGCAAAGGACCTGAATAGACATTTCTCCAAAAGGACATACAGATGGCCAATAGACATATGAAAAGATGTTCAATGTCACTAATCATCAGGAAATGCAAACTAAAACTACAATGAGATATTACCTCACACCTGTCAAAATGGTTATCATCAATAAATTAACAAATAACAAGTGTTGGTGAGGATGTGAAGAAAGGGGAACCCTCATACACTGTTGATGAGATTGTAAATTGTTGCAGCCAATATAGAAAACAGTATGAAGGTTTCTCAAAATATTAAAAATAGAACTACCATATGACCCAGTGATTCCATTTCTGGGAATTTATCCAAAGAAACCCAAAACACCAATTTGAAATGAATATATGAATCCCTATGTTCACTGCAGCGTTATTTACAGTAGTCAAGATATGGAAGCAACCTAAGTGTCCATCAATAGATGAATGGATAAAGAAGAGATGGTACATATATACAATGGAATATCACTCAGCCATAAAAATCTTGCCATTTGCAACAACATGGGTGGATCTAGAGAGTATTATGCTAAGTGAAATAAGTCAGACAGAGAAAAACAAACATCATATGATTTCACTTATATGTGGAATCTAAAAAGCAAAATAAACTAACAAACAAAACAAACTCACAGACACTGAGAACAAATTGATGGTTGCCAGATTTGGGGAGGTGCGTTGGGAGTGTGGGTGAAAAAGGTTAAGGGTATAAATTGTCAGTTATAAAAATAGTCATGGGGATGTAAAATACACATAGGGAATATAGTCAGTAATACTGTAATAACTAAGTATGGTGTCAGATGAATACTAAACTTATCGGGTAACAACTCTGTAAGTTATACAAATGTCGAATTTATAGGGTGTACTCCTGAAACTAATATAATATGTTATGTCAACTATAACTGAGAAATTTAAATTTTTTTTAAAAAAAGAAATCTCTCCCTGTGAATGCTGAGAGCCACTGAAAGCTACGGTCCAGAGTGGGGCTCATGAGAGGGTAGAGCTATAAGAGAGACGGGGCTGGAGGCAGGCCGGACTTTCAAGGGCATCACAGACCCACATTCTAGTCTAGAGCCCAAAGCAGGCTGGTTCTGTCTTCAGTCTCACCTGGCCCTCTCCTACCCCTTCCATCTTCTCACCCTGCTCATTGCGAGTTTCTGCTGATCAAATATTCACTGGATTGGGAGGTTCTATCAGGGTGGGGAGCAAATCCCTTTCATCTTTGCACACACATACCCCCGCCCATGCACAGAAGGCGCTCCATAAATGCATGCTTAACTCTTGTTTCTGAGCGTCAACCCGCCTCCCCCTGCAGTTGTGCTGGGGTTGGATTCATCCAAGGGAACAGAAGAGAAGGGCAGAGCCAGCCAGCCCTGCGGCCTTTACCTCACAAGGTTGGCACAGGGCCCGGGCCACCGGCAGCTCTGGTACACGCGCTGGACCACTGTCTCCGAGCCGTTCTGCACCTGGCAGGACACCGTCCGTGTTACTGTGTGATGGCACCAGTGCCTGTGGGGAGAACAACAGTCATGTCAGCACTGACTGTTCCTGAGGTGCTGACTGCTGGTCAAAAGCCCTCCACAAGCCTGGGAGCTGGTCCTCTTGGGTATGAGGCCCACTGAGACCCCCTGTTTGGGTCTAAGGGGAAGGAAGAATACAGCCCTTTTTGGCTACCAAACTCTGGCATCATCAGAGTCATCAAGCACTGCATGTGGAATCAGTGAAAAAGACTGTACCCCTGCCTGCTGGGAGCTCTCACTCCAGTGTGGAGGACCAGAAATGATTACAACCCACAGGAACACGGGTCATAAGTACAACCATATCATAAGCAAGGAGCTCTGGGAACAAAGCAGGGCACCCAGCCCAGGTCCTAAGAAAGCTGACCACCTGAGTTCTGAAAGATAAGAGTCAGCTGACCAAAGTATGGGGGCAATGAGAGGGGGTGGCATTAGCAAAGGAGGGAGCAGTGTGAGCAGAGACACGGAGGTGAGATACCACGGTATGCAACTGTCTCACAAGGACCTGAATGCACTTAGACACAGCCCAAAGGCTGTAGGAACGGAAGGAGTCAAGAGAAAGAAAGAAGCATGGTACCTGCCAGGCTCGGTGTGGGTCTTATCATGAAGTCAGAGGGAATACACTGAAGGACTCTGAGCAGGGAAATGACACATGTGGGTCTGAGGTTATTGTCAGAGGACCACAGTGGAAGGAGCCAAACAGGTAGGACCCAGATCCCCCTCCCTTCTGGTATCAAGAATCAGGTATGGGGAATTCCAAAATGGCGGTGGAGTGAATGGAAGCTACACAGACCGTCTCCCAGGACCAAACTGGAATTACAACCAAAATAAAGACAAATTGTCAGAGAAATGCAGCTTGCAAGGATCATATATCCAGGGACACTGACTTGATCCTGGTAGGATTGCGGAGGCATTAGAGGGGGGCTGGGAGCCCTCAGACAGCAGCGGCCTTAGCTTTGAGCAGCACCCTTGAGTTAAACTCCCAAGTGGCTCCACAGCCCAGGGCCGGGACAGACGCTAAAATAACCACAGCCACTCACCTTGGGCTCTGGCAGAGGGAGGGTGGACTACTGGAACTGTGTGGGGATACTCAGGATTTGGAGGGCACTCAGAGCTTTTCCTGAGTTGCAGCCACTCAGGACGGTGGCCATCTTACTCCTTCCCAGGGCTCTGGGGAGAGGTGGTGGCCCCTCCCTGAGAGACTCAACCCCACCCAGGTGGGCCATTGAAATGCAAACTGAGGCTCATTCACAACCAGCATCTGCCCTACCCTCGGGAAATCCCCTTATGCTCACCACCTGAGGGAGTTTTCATTCAACTGAGAACCCAAGGCTCCTTAAGTAACCACTACTGATAGCCTCCAGACAAAAAGCTAGAGGGTAACTGAACCATTCTTGGGCTAGCAACTCTAACCAGGAAAGCAAGACTAGATAGTGGTATTTAACATGGGTCCTCCCTCACTCATCCAAACCCAGGAGAGGGAGCCACAAACAGCAGAATGCCAACACCCACAGGGAAAATTTGGCAGGCTCCAAAGCCCACTGTGATAGGCAAAATGGTGAAACAAACAAACAAAAGCCAAATGAAAAAACAAAAGACCTCTATCAAAGATGAGATAAATGAGGTGCAGTTAAGCAAGTTAACAGAACTAGAATTCAGAGCCATGATCTTGAGGAAGCTCAACAGCATGAATAAGGACATCAACACCATGAATAAAGACATAGAAATGTTGAAAATCAACCAATTAGAAATAAAAAACCACCAAGAAGAAATCAAGAATGACATATCAGAAATAAATAACACATTGGAAGGTCTAAACAGCAGAGTAGAGGAAGCTGAGGACCAGATCAGTGAATTAGAAGACAGGGTAGAAAAAAATCAACCAATCAGAAAACCAAAAGAAAAAAAAAACAAACAATTAAAAAACAGGAAGGCAGTTTAAGAGAACTGTGGGACAACTGGAAACGTAATAATATTCACATCATAGGAGTCCCCAAAGAAGAAGAAAATGAGCAAGGGTTAGAGAATATATTTGAAGAAATAGTGACAGAAAACTTCCCTAATTTGGTGAAGGAAGAAGGCATCAAGTTCAAGAAGCACAGAGAGCCCCAAGTAAGAAGAACCCAAACAGGCCAACACCAAGACATATAGTAATTAAAATGCCAAAAATTAAAGACAAAGAGACAATCCTAAAAGCAGCAAGAGATAAGCAACAGGTTACCTACAAAGGAACCCCCATAAGGCTCAGCAAACTTCTCAACAGAAACACTACAGGCCAGAAGGGAATGGCATGAAGTAATCAAGGTCATGAAAAACAAGGATCTGAATCCAAGACTACTCTACCCAGCAAGGCTATCATTCAAAATAGAAGGTCAAATAAAGAGCTTCTCAGACAAAAAAATAAAATAAAATAAAGGCTAAGGGAATACATTAGCATCAAACCAGCACTGCAGGAAATGTTAAAAGGACTGCTGTAATTAGTAGAAGAAATAGGAAGAAAAATATAACCACACTAAACAAAAAAGGCAATAAATAAGTACATATCAATAATCACCTTAAATGTAAATGGACTGAATGTTCCCATAAAAAGACACAGAGTAGCTGATTGGATAAGAAAGCTTGACTCATCTATATGTTGTTTATAAGAGACCCATCTCACAACAAATGACTCACCTAGGTTAAAAGTGAAGGGGTGGAAAAAAATCTTCCAAGAAAATGGAAAGGAAAAAAAAGCTGGGGTAGCAATACTCATATCTGATAAAAATAGATTTCAAAATGAAGGCCATAACTAGAGACAAATAAGGCCACTACATAATATTGAAACGATTTATCCAACAGGAAGATATAACCTGGATAAACATATATGCACCCAATATAGGAGCACCAAAATTTATTAAAAATCTTCTGGAGGACTTCAAAGGAGAAATCGACAACAATACAATCATAGCAGGGGACGTCAACATCCTGCTGACATCACTGGATAGATCCTCTAGACAAAAAAATTAGCAAGGAAACAGAGACTCTAAATGAAGCACTAGACCAAATGGATTTAATAGATATCTACAGAGAATTACATCCCAAACCTCAGAATTCACATTCTTCTCAAGTGCACATGGGACATTCTCAAAAATAGACCACATGAGAGGACACAAACTAAATCTCTACAAGTTCAAGAAGATTGAAATCATATCAAGCATCTTCTCAGATCACAATGGCATGGAACTAGAAATCAATTGCAACCAAAACATGCAAAGACATTTGAACACATGGAGGCTAAATAGCATGTTATTAAACAATGAGTGGGTTACCGAGGAGATCAAGGAAGAAATTAAAAACCTCCTGGAAACCAATGAAAATAAACACACAACAACACAAAATCTATGGGATGAACTGAAAGCAGTTCTGAGAGGGAAGTTCATAGCACTACAAGCATACCTCAAGACAAATTTCTAATAGACTATCTAACCTCACAACTTAAAGAATTAGAAAGCAGCCCTGGCCGGTTTGGCTCAGCGGTTAGAGCGTCGGCCTGCGGTCTGGAGAGACCCGGGTTCGGTTCCCACTAAGGGCGCGTACTTCGGTTGCAGTTTGCCCCGGTGCTGGTTGGTCTTGCGGGTGGCAGCCACTCGGTGTGTCCCTTCACGTCGATGTTTCTCTCTCTCTCTCCCTTCCTCTCTCTCCCTCCCACTCTATCTGTACAAAAAATGGAAAAATACCCTCGGGTGAGGATAAAAAATAAAAAAAAAGAATTAGAAAGCAAACAAAAAGAAAACCCCAGAGCAAGTAGAAGGAAGGAAATAGTAAAGATAAGAGCAGAAATAAATGACATAGAGACCAAAAAAACAATTGAAAGGATCAATGAAACAAAGAGCTGGTTTTTCGAAAAGATAAACAAGATTGATGGACCCTTAGCTAGACTCACTAAGAAAGAAAGCGAGAGAACCCAAATACACAAAATCAGAAATGAAAAAGGAGAAGAAACAAGAGACACCATAGAAATACAAAAGATCGTTAACAACTACTATGAACAATTATATGGCAACAAATTTGACAATCTAAGCAAAATGGACAAATTTCTAGCAACACATAGTTTCCCAAAACTGGACCAGGAAGAGAGAAAATTTGAACAGACCAAAAACAACTAAGGAAATTGAAGAGATAATGAAGACTCTCCCAGCAAACAAAAACCCAGGCCCGGATGGCTTCATGGGGGAGTTTTACCAAACATTCAAAAAAGAACTAACACCAATTCTCCTCAAACTATTTCAGAAAATTCAAGAAGAAAGATGACTTCCAAACTCGTTTTATGAGGCCAGCATAATTCTAATTCCAAAACCAGAAAAAAACACTACAAAGAAAGAAAACTACAGGCCAATATCCCTGATGAACATAGATGCCAAAATCCTGAACAAAATACTAGCAAATCGAATCCAGCAATACATCAAAAAATTATTCACCATGACCAAGTGAGATTCATCCCAGGGATGCAAGGCTGGTACAATATTCACAAACCAATAAATGTGATACACCACATAAATAAAATGAAGAATAAAAATCACATGATTATATCAATAGATGCTGAAAAAGCATTAGACAAAATCCAGCATCCATTTCTGATAAAAATGCTCAGCGATGTGGGAATAGAGGGATTATATCTCAACATAATAAAAGCCATATATGAAAGACCTACAACCAATATCATATTCAATGGGCAGAAACTAAAAGCATTTCCCTTAAAAACAGGAACAAGACAGGGATGCCCACTTTCGCCAGTTTTATTTAACATAGTATTGGAATCAGCCACAGCAATCAGACATGAAGAAAAAAATAAAAGGGATCCAAGTTGGAAAGGAGGAAGTGAAACTGTCATTATTTGCAGATGACATGGTATTATACATAGAAAACCCTAAAGATTCCATCAAAAATCTACTAGACTTAATAAATGAATTTGGCAAAGTAGAAGGATACAAAATTAACATCAAGAAATCAACG